CCTACAAGCTCTGTGTTAGACCATGTTCCTGTCATCTAATAAACCTCTGTTTTACTGGCTGGCTGAGAGTCCCGTCTGACTGCGGAGTTGGGGGGCAGGACCCTCTGGCTTCCCCAAGACCCCGCCTGGGCGGACTCGCTGGGGGAAGCGCATGGAGGGGCAGAGGAGGCTGAATGCTCCGAGGTCAGACCCAGGAAGGTGGAAGCTGTGTGAGCTGTGTGTCCTGCAGACAGGCTGCTCCCAGAGAGGAGACTTCCCCAGAGTCCTGACTGGCTTCGTATGGAGCAGTTCCAGAGCATCGCTCGGGGACTCCGTAACAGATCCCTTGAATCAGATAAAGCCTCTATATGTGAGGAAATAGAGATATTATGCAGGAAAACAGGGTGGGGCCCAGGTGGGACAAAAACGCTTGACAGGCCTGGTGCTCTGCCGTGAGCTCCCCGACGTTGATGCCTAGAGCTAAGTCATGCTGCATCCAGCAACCGTTGGTGCAGAGCTTGCCCAGGTGGGCTTCCCGGCCCAGATCTGAGGCGTCCGAGACCAGGGTGAGCAACAATGATGGGGGCACAAAGGGATCTTCCCTTAGCACTGACTTGGGGTCTAGCCACCAGTTCAAGGATGAGAGGATGTGGTGCAGCACCGTGACCGCTTGGTCTAGGGGGTGCCTGCTGGGAACGTAGACCATTGCTAGCCACATTTGCAGGGGTCACAGATGAAGCCAAGCGGGCCTGACCATGTATGTGCATGCTGCCATGTGGGCCATCAGCCACAGGCAAGTGTGGGCTGTGGTGATCGGATGTCTCCTCACGTGGGCAATAAGATCCACCATGGCCTGGAAGCATGTTTCCGGAAGGAAGGCCCTGGCTTGCGTGGAATCAAGAACTACTCCGATAAACTCTATGCTCTGGACTGGCGTTAATGAGGACTTTTCTGTGTTTATTAGCAGGTCCAGGTCACTGCAGGTGAAGCGTACCAGATCGAGGCTTCTCCGCACCTGTCCTGGAGACCTGCCCTTGACGAGCCAGTCGTCAAGGTACAGAGAGATCTGGACCCCCCGACGTCTAAGGTAAGCCACTACTAGTGCCATGCATTTCATGAACACCCTGGGGGCTGAGGACAGGCCAAAGGGTAGCGCCGTGAACTGGAAGTGGTGCCTGGCCACTATGAAACGCAGGAACCGTCTGTGTCCTGGAAATATGGAGACATGGAAAAATACATGTCCTTTAAGTCGAGAGCGCGTACCAGTCCCCGGATCCAGGGAGGGAATAATGGAGACCATGCAAAACTTCAACTTCTAGAGAGACTTATTGAGGCCACGGAGGTCCAGGATGGGTCTGAGGTCCCCCTTGGCCTCTGGGATTAGGAAGCAGAGGGAATAGAATCATCTTCCTTCCATGTCCCAAGGAACCGCCTCCACAGACCCCAGCTGCAGGAGCTTGTCGACCTCTGGAACCAGGAGTTGCTTGTGAGAGGGGTCCCTGAAGAGGGATGGGGAAGCAGGGGAATGGGAAGGAGGGGTATCCACAAACTGCAGGGTATAGCCCTGAGCTACTATGTCCAGGACCCAGTGGTCTGAGGTAACCTGAGACCAGGCTGAGAGGTAGGGAGAAAGGCAGTAGAGCAAAGGATGGACAGGATCTGGCCAGCTGACTAGGGCGTCGCTGTCAAGCGCACCCTCAAAACTATCGCTTTTAGCCCCCTGGGTGTTTAGCGGGTCTGGGCTGGGCTGGCGAGCGAGAGGAGGAAGGGCAGCGACGGCTAAACCCAGTGTCCCGGGAGCTCGACCCACTTGGGATGAATTTCCTGCTGGGACCTTAACTATGAGCTAATTATGCACTTAACACTAACTACAATCGAACAACAGCCTGACGGCACAAAGTCCCAATGGAAGAAACCGCTAGCTCTTGACAAGCAAAAGAGGCGCTCTGACTGACCACCACAGGCGGTAAGGGGGAACTGCGAGAGCGTGGGCCGGCAGCGTCTGATACACCGCGGCATGAGCGCAGCACTCTAGGGGGCGCCACGGCCGGCCCTACGGGTACCGCTGAGGCAAAAATAGCCGATGGCCACACACATGGGCACGCACACACTTAGAATGGTTTCAGAGGAACAGCCGTGTTAGTCTGTATTCGCAAAAAGAAAAGGAGTACTTGTGGCACCTTAGAGACTAACCAATTTATTTGAGCATGAGCTTTCGTGAGCCACAGCTCACTTCATCAGATCTGATGAAGTGAGCTGTGGCTCACGAAAGCTCATGCTCAAATAAATTGGTTAGTCTCTAAGGTGCCCCAAGTACTCCTTTTCTTTTTACACTTAGAATGGAATCGACATTGTTCAATATCTTTATTAATGATCTGGAGGATGGTGTGGATTGCACCCTCAGCAAGTTTGCAGATGACACTAAACTGAGAGAAGAGGTAGATACGCTGGAGGGTGGGGATAGGATACAGAGGGACCTAGACAAATTAGAGGATTGGGCCAAAAGAAATCTGATGAGGTTCAACAAGGACAAGTGCACTTAGGATGGAAGAGTCCCATGCACCGCTACAGACTAGGGACCGAATGGCTAGGCAGCAGTTCGGCAGAAAAGGACCTAGGGGTTACAGGGGACGAGAAGCTGGATAGGAGTCAACAGTGTGCTCTTGTTGCCAAGAAGGCCAATGGCATTTTGGGATGTATACATAGGGGCATTGCCAGCAGATCAAGGGACGTGATCATTCCCCTCTATTCGGCACTGGTGAGGCCTCATCTGGAGTACTGTGTCCAGTTTTGGGCCCCACACTACAAGAAGGATGTGGAAAAATTGGAAAACGTCCAGCGGAGGGCAACAAAAATGATTAGGGGACTGGAACATGTGACTTATGAGGAGAGGCTGAGGGAGCTGGGATTGTTTAGCCTGCAGAAGAGAAGAATGAGGGGGGATTTGATAGCTGCTTTCAACTACCTGAAAGGAGGTTCCAAAGAGGATGGATCTCGACGCTTCTCAGTGGTAGCGGATGACAGAACGAGGAGTAATGGTCTCAAGCTGCAGTGGGGGAGGTTTAGGTTGGATATTAAGACAAACTTTTTCACTAGGAGGGTGGTGAAGCACTGGAATGGGTTTCCTAGGGAAGTGGTGGAATCTCCATCCTCAGAGGTTTTTAAGGTCAGTCTTGACAAAGCCCTGGCTGGGACGATTTAGTTGGGGATCGCTCCTCATTTGAGCAGGGGGTTGGACTAGATGACCTCCTGAGGTCCCTTCCAACCCTGATATTCTAGGATTCTAGGATTCTATGAGCAGGCACTCGCAGAAGAACGGTCAGTTACATCTGTTAAAGCTCACAAAGAGAAGGATAATCTCGGAAATGAAAGGTTTCAGAGGAACAGCCGTGTTAGTCTGTATTCGCAAAAAGAAAAGGAGTACTTGTGGCACCTTAGAGACTAACCAATTTATTTGAGCATGAGCTTTCGTGAGCTACAGCTCACTGATGAAGTGAGCTGTAGCTCACGAAAGCTCATGCTCAAATAAATTGGTTAGTCTCTAAGGTGCCACAAGTACTCCTTTTCTTTTCTCGGAAATGAACTCTCCCTGCTCCTCAGCCCTGGAGACCCTGGGAGATGGCACAGATGGCCGGCAGCCTGGCCCAAGCATCCAGTAGCATTTCTGGGTTCTGCAGCTTCCTTGGGGGGTTCAGCAAACTCTGAGGTCCACCAGGGTGACCTCATATGCCTGTTGGAAGCTGCAGCCTTCTAATTGCTTATTGGACGCTTGTCAAAGGGGCGCTCAGATTTCTGGTCTTAGTTTCTCTGCTACATCTGTTGGTAGCCAGTAGGTGCCGCTGGTGTGTAACAAATTCCTTTTACTGGAGGTTTTTATGTTTGATTCATTTCAAGGATTCGCAAAAAGGAAAGGAGGACTTGTGGCACCTTAGAGACAAACACATTTATTCTTGCATCCGATGAAGTGAGCTGTAGCTCACGAAAGCTCATGCTCAAATAAATTGGTTAGTCTCTAAGGTGCCACAAGTACTCCTTTTCTTTTTGCGAATACAGACTAACACGGCTGCTACTCTGAAACCTGATTTATGGACAAGCATTCACGAGGGGCCTGCAGCTCAGCACAGGCGTAGCTGAGCCCTGCCGGCCATGGAGAGGTCAGCTCCTGGGGCACATAAGCCTTACCGCACCGGGCACTGCCCCGGGGGGGAGCAGGAGCAGTTGCCCTCCCCCCAGGGCACACCCAGGGGCAAAGGGGGCAGGGCAGGTGACTCACTCAGCTGCAGCACTGCTGTGACCACAGAACTTCCCTGAATCAATCCTGGTTTGAACCGTCCCTTAGAAAAACACCCCCCTGGTGGCTGAAGAATTTCCAGCGATGGAGAATCCGCTGCCACCCAGGTATGAAATTGCTGCCGTGGCTCCTCGCTCACTGTCACCACTTACACCTTCGCTCTAGTGTGAATGGTCCCGCTGCAGCATTGGCTTGAGTGGGACCTTTCTCAGCTTGAGTGAAGGACCCTGGCGTATCGAGTTCCTCTTCCCCCACTGATATCGCGAGTGTGATCGTCACCCCTGAGCCTTCTGTTGGATAAACTCTCTGAGGCTGGTGCTACAGGGCAGCCCCACTTCCCCCCTCTGCTTTACCACCTGTCTCCCCCTGGGGGCAGGGCCAGGCCCCTCTCTCCAAACAGGTGGGGCTGGCCCTGGCTGCACCAGGCTCAGGCTCTGCCCGGCTTCCTGGGACTGTGCAGACAGCGAGGTTCCAAATGCACATGGGGCAAAGCAGGTTCCCCAGGGGAAGAGGCTCAGCTGCTTCTGAGCAAAGGCTGCCTGCAGGAGGCTGGTTCTTTGGCTTGGCTGAAACACAGCACCCCCTGCCCTGGAGAGGGAGCAGGCCTGGAACAGGCCCCAGGTCAATAGGGGCCAAGTCTCGCCCTGGGAGCATAGTGAGGTACCCCCTTGCCTGGCTGGGAGGCAGCTGTGGGGTTAGACAGACACTGCACACAGGGGACAGCCCAGCAGCGGGTCCACTTTGTTTATACTTCATTATAACAGAGCCATTACTGTAGCAGTTAGGAGCCTGCTGGACCAGGCCCCCTTGTTCTCCTTTCCCTGGGCTGGAGCTGGCCGGGTGGGAGGGCGACCCTGGCTGGTGCTGGCTCAGCTGGCGGTCCTCATCCCATGGCTCAGCCACGTTACAGCGACCCCTGCCCAGGGCTGCAGGCCAGAGGTCAATTTATGGAGGAGGCCCAGCTGACCTAGCCCTCCCCCCTGACGTGGGCCCCAGGCCCCACCAGCCCTGTTACAGAGGCTGCCCCTCAGGGCTCTCTGAACCTCCACCCCTGCAGCAGTGCAGCCCCCTCCCCTCCGGGGGATCATGATCAGCAGCCCCTTGACCAGCAGGAAGGCAGCACACAGCGCTAGGCAGGGACCCTCTGCCTGCAGCCGCCCCCAGCCACACCAAGAACAGCAGCTGAGGCTCTGCAGCAGGGAGGTCGATGAGAGAAGTTTAGTGCTGTCCCCTGGCAGAACCACACCCAGCTGGCATCCCCTGCGAGGCACAGGTTCTTGGCGTGCCCAGCTGAGGGATGGGGAATCATCGTGTTACTGGAAGGGACAGGTCGCTTGGAGCTGCGGGACTTGCTAAGGGCACCCGGACGCAGGGGCCCAGCCCAATCAAAGTGGTTTTCCACTCAGTCCAGCTGCAGGGTACTAAGTAACGCAGGCCCAACTCCCCATGCTGGGCCCCCTCCACGCTGCAGCTAGAACCGTTTCCTGCTACCCCAGAGCCCAGCTGCCCCCCAGTCAGGATTGGTGGGTGAGGAGACAGATCCCGCTCAGGGGCATTTAGAAGCATTTGCGTAGACAAGGATCAGTCAAAACGGCCCTGGCAAATTCACAGCCAGGCAGCACGAGGTGCCTGGCGCTCACATCTCATCTGCACGGTGCTGCTGGATCACGACGCTGGTGGTGCGCTCCACCCACTCCTGCTTCTTGGTCCCCCAGGCTGATGGCTGCGCAGAGTGCAGGGGGCCCTTCCCAGGAAGCTGCTCTGGCTGCTGTTGGGGGGGACCCAGCTCAGAGCTGACTCCTGGCGGTGGGTCGGAGGATGAGTTACTGTTGATGGCAGAGCCATGCTCCGCCTTGGGTGGGCTCTGTCCCCCATCCCGGGAGTGATTGAGGCTGCCTGGCAGCGGGGCCGTCTCAGATTCCAGGGCCAGTCCCTCCATTGTGCGCTCTCCCCGTGTTTCAGGCCCCTCTGCCTGCTGGGCAGCTGCTGCCTGAAAGTGGGCCGTGTCACTCGGGTACTCCCGGATCTGACGAGACAGCACTGTAAGAGAGAGGAGAGTTAGCCTGACATCGCCAAGAATGTCGTGCGCCAGGGCGGGGGCTGACCCCAGGCTCTCCTGGCCCTACTCTGCACGGGGCAGGGGAGAGCAGCTTTGCCAGCAGCCAGACAGGACAGCAGAGCAACCCACAAACAGGCCCCGCGCACACGAGGCATAAGCCCGTGACTGGGAAACCATGTCTCTGCTGGGGCCGCATCACCTGGAACATTCACCCTGGAAGAGTTCACTGTAGGGCATAATCCTGCCCCTCCCGCTCACCCCCATGCAACCAGTCACTCACCTCCTCGGAACCCCTCCTGCTGTACTCTGGCTCCGAGCGGATAGAGACTGGGTGAGAGAACGAGGCAGAAGGATAGGAGCAGGACCTGGAGAGAGACAACTGAGCCATCAGCACCAGTGTATGACTCCACAGCCCCGCCAGCCAAGGAGGCTCCTCAGCACCACCCACGTGGCCAGCACAGATCCTGAGGGCAGGAGCTGGGGCCAATGCCCGGCTACAGGGCCACTCACCATGACGCAGGTGCTGGCGGTGGTGGTTTTGGTCGAGGACTGTCTCACCAGGGCTTGGAGCCTCCGTAGCTGCTCGAGCAATGACCTAGGGCAAAGTGTGAAACGTAGGTGAGTGCAGGCCCTGGTCCCAAGCTGCCCATCTTGCCGCTGAGCCCCGCACAGACCGCCATGTCCCTCCACCCTGGGGAACAGGCTTCGCTCCCCTGGCATGTCAGTGCTGACTGGAGGGGCACAGGGAGACAGTGCCCCCCTTCCCACCTTCTTGCCCCCAGGTTTCCATGTCTGGAGTGTCAGGAACTCACATGTTCTCCTTCTGCAGCAGCTGCACCTTCTTCTGCAGCTCGTGGTTCTGCGCCGTGCAGGTGACAACCCTTCCCAAGCAGCGACGGGGAGAGAGGAAAGAGTCAGACTGACCCCCAGGGGAAACTGCGCTGCTGGCTCAGGAGGGTCCTGGCTCAGTGCCTGGTGCAGAATGTCCTGAGGGTGGGGGGCAGGTGTGACCTCATCTGTCCCTAGCACAGCCACAAGCTGGGGACACAGACAGCCAAACTGCTCTGACGCAGCTAGGAGGCAGGGCCGGGGCAGCCCGATTTGCAGTACAGTCGCAGGGCAAGCAGACGGGGTCGCTGAGGTCACCCTGGGACAAACCTCTGAGTGGTAAAAATCAGGTCCCACTCCTCCGCACACTCACACCAGTGCTTGGAGCCCCCGAGCCGGCTCTGCTCCCGCAGCACGGGGCTGCTGGGGTCACTCGCAGTAGGCACTGCCCTGGCGCCAAGGCAGCTCAGCAGGAGTGTCTGGCAGAACGCGGCTCCCATGGGAAGGGGAAGGGCTCATTCGCCGGTGGGGCTCAGCCCTTGATCAGAGCTTTGCAGCTCCGCCAGAGCGTGGTACAAACAGGCCCTGCCTATCGGCTTCTGCTCCTCTGGGCCCGGGGGCTGGCAGCTGCCTCCAGCGCTAGGAGTGCAAGTGCTTGGTGTCCTCAAGCCAGAGCGTTCACGACCCCCAGTACTCTGGCAGTGGGCGCTCCCCAGACCCACGGGAGGAGCAACACCCTCTGCTGGGCCTATCGCTCCCCGACATCCTGGGGGGGATGCAAAACCCACTGCTGTGCCCCTAGTACCTGCTCTCCAAGCCATCCACATAGACCTTCTTCCTGCGCCGACTGTCCAGGGCCGACTGCTTGTTCCGGATCTTTCGACGGACTCTCTTTAGGAGCCGCTCCTCAGCCTGAAACAGCCAGCTCAGGCTACAGGCCATGCCTGGGACTCCAGACTCTGGGGCGAGAGCCCTGACCCCGCCCTGCCAAGGACCCTCCAGGGCACAGGGAGGAGCAGCTGGCAGGTATCTGCCATCGGGCCAGGGCAGGAAGGGCCTGGGGTGGGCAGAGGCTACTCCAGGTACTTCTCACATGCTTTGCCTGTGGTGTCACTAGGAACGCAGCTGCAGGCCTTGGCCCAGAGGGCGAAGTGACCTGCTGCCTTGCAGTGCGTCAGGAAACCCAGGGGCGCTACCCACACAGCAGGGAGACAAAAGGCAGAGGAGCCCCAGCTCTGACAGCACCTTGTGCTGTTCCGGTCTCTGCATATGCACCCACACCCACTTCCACTGCCGTCAGCCCACAGCCCCTACACCAGGCGGGCATGCGCGCCTGGGCCTGGCCTCCAGCTCACACCAGGCAGGCCCACCAGAACCCGGCCCAGCCAGAGGTCTCAAAAACAGGGCCTGAAAGAGCCACTGGCCCTAGGAGACCAGGTCAAACTCCTTGGCAGGAGGGGAGGGCCTGAGCCAGTGTCCCTGCAGAACACGGCCCCACGTAGCACAGCCATCTGGAGGGTGCAAACAGGCACAGCAGACTAAGACTGGCCAGTTTCATGGCTGCTCTTCAGGTCCCCGTGGGCAGCTGAGGACTGTCAAGACTCACTTCACTCGCTTTCCTGCTACTGGGGAACTCTCCGCAGCAGCACAGACCCCGCCATCCCTCCACGGTGGCCAACATGCCGGGGAGGGGCAGCAGCAGGCCACACCTCCCTGACACCTTCTTCCTTCTAGCAGCTAGAGGGGCAGTGGCTGCAGATCACCTAGCTGGGGTCTGGCCACTGGCTGCTATGGAAAATGGAGCCCTGCAAGCAGGGTCCAGGGCAGGAATCCAGCACCACCCCCATTCACGGAGCTGCAGGCTGAGCCTCTCAGTAAGACACCGGCGCTGCACCGTGGTAATGGGGCCCCCGCTTCATGGCTCCTATCAGTCTCTGGCCTGGGCCCCCTCTGAAGGGATGAGTGAGGGGAGGGGCCATGCACTAGAGCATGGGGGGGGGGGCATGAACTCACCTTGGTCAGGGGCAGGTGGGATGGCAAGGAGACACCCTCTCTCTCCAGAAGCTGTTTCTCCTCTTCTGTCAGGATCAGTTCCGGGAAACCGAACTACAACACAAACCAACCCGCTGCTGAGCACGGAGAACCCCTCTTCTGAACTAGCAAGGGAAGCCCCCAGGGCAGGGAACCCCTCTTCTGAACTAGCAAGGGAAGCCCCCAGGGCAGGGAACCCCTCTTCTGAACTAGCAAGGGAAGCCCACAGGGAGTCAGCACCCGAACAGGGAATGGAAGTGTAAGTGGGGAGGGAAGGAAGGAGCCACCTGCATTAGCAGTGGGGCCTGTCCCTGGGGCGTGGGCCTCAGTACCTGCATGGGGGTCCCAGGCACGAAGTCATCCATGGGCACAGCAACCGGGAAGCTGAAACTCTGCTCCTCGACCAGCGTCTCCTCTGTACTTCCCGAGTCCCCCCACATATCTGGGAGAGGAACGAGAGTCAGCCGCCACTCACTGTACACCCCCAGCCAGCTGGCCCCATGTGGCAGAGGAAGACTGAGCCAGCAGGCCCCTCTTCCCAACCCCCGGCCTTCTTCTTCCACCTGGCAGACAGCACCAAGTGCTAGGCTGCTTCCCTGCCAAGCCGAGCACGGCCAGTAGCCATGGGCTCAAGATGCGGAATTGGGATTCCCCAGGCCTCTCCCTTACCCAGGTCAATGGAGATGTCTCCTTCTGCCGTGTCTGCTCTCACGCTCTCCAGCACCGCACTTTCTTGATGGAGGGAGTAGCTGTGATCAACCTGCACGATGTCAGAGCTCAAAGGGCTGCAGGCGAGGTCCCTGGCTGGAGACGCGTCCCAGCTGCTGGGGCTGGGGAAGGGATTCTGGTCCTCTGAGATGCCGCTATCACTGTTGAGAGGCGAGTGACCCTGCAAGGCACTCGGCCCCTCTTCAAAGGGGCTCAGCAGGGAGCTGAGAAAGTCCTCCACCTCCTTGTCATTCAGGAGCTGCAGAGAACAGTTGCTGCTAAGCAGAGGATGGAGGCCTGAAAGCCCCCTCCCACGGCCCAGCCTAGCTCACTTCTCTATGCTCTGCACCAGACAGCAGTCTCACCTCGGGCTCCAGCAGACCCCAGTCTCCCAGCAGGTTGGCTTCGTCCCCTGAGAACTCTGCACAGGGAGCATCATCCACCAGGAGGAAGCTGAGCAGCTCATCATCTGCAGAGGCAACCACCTCTTCTGGGCACGACATCTGAGCAAGACAGACAGGGCCATCCAGGGGCTGTGGGAGAGACCCACCCTCGCATCCAGGAGAGGGACAGGACCTCCCTCCTGTCCCTCTGCCCGGGCACTCACATCTCCAAGGTTGTAACTGCCAGGAGCTCTACAGGGAAGGGTACAACACATGCCAAGCCAGGCCCCGGAGACTCCTGCGGCAGGACTACTGGTGCACCTCTGCCTGGCTGACCGTGCACTCTCTGGGCCCAGCAGCCCACAAGCAGGGCAACGAAAGCAGGCAATGCAGCCACGGCAGCTCACAGTGTGAGCGCACTGCAACAAGGCGCAGCTGGCTGGGCAGAGCCCAGGGCAGTCACCTCTCCCAACCACGATACAAGGCTGGCTCCTGCAGCTTTCCCTAGAGCCAAAAGATTCTTTGCACCCTGGCCTGATGCCAGCTAGGCCGGCACTCCTTGGAGGCCTCAGATCTGGATGACAGGTGCATCAGCTTGTGACCAAGCTGGAGGGCAGATCCCAGAAGCCTGAATCTCAGCACCGCAGCGGCTGCTCGGAAACAGGAAGTTGGTCCGTGGATCCCTCCCTCTGCTGCATCAAAGGAGCAGGAAGCAAGGCGGTGAGAGGAAGGGGGACGCAGGGGCCCCATTGTTCCAGTGAGCACACTGAACAGGTCTCCAGGCAGGCAGCCAGAGGAGGGGCTGGGCCACAGCAGGCGATTCGGAAGGAAGGGTCATAAAAGCTGCTCTGCACATAGAGTGACACCTCCCACACCATACGTGTGTGCACACACGCGCGTGTGCACACGCAAACCCAGCAGCCAAGGCATCAGCTATTGGGCACGTCAGACAACGCTGAATGGGGGTCACGCGGCTGCCACACTCTCTGCCCCTGCAAGCCTGTCTGAGGAACAGGAAGGCTGGGAGCCGGCTCTGCCCTGCTGAGTCAGAAGGCATCGCTGCAGAAGCGTGCCTAGAGGCAGAGCCTGAGGCAGGGCTAGGCTCCCCCATCGCCTCACTGCCTTGAGTCCCTATGTCTGGGCCCTCAAGGGACCAATCATGCAGCCCCAAAACGCACCCCTCTCCTGGCCAGTTCTGAGCTCTGGGGAGCTGCGGATAGGCAGCCCACATACAGGAATGGAGAATCAGACTAGTTCTCTGTGGGCATCCAGTGGCCAATTCCATGGCAATGAGCCACTGCCCCAGTGATCAGCCCCGGCAATAGACTGGCCTACACAGATCCTTGATTACTTGCATCATGTGTGCTTTCTGCAGCCACCCTGCGCTGCTTTTTTCTGCAATTCTCAGCCCTAAACAGACAGCTACACCCTGCACCGCACAGGGTGACTGCACCCCTCTACACAGCCTGCAGGCCCAGGGGACCATCTGGCCCTGGGGGTTACAAACAGGTTCAGCCTAACTCTGGTTTCAATTTCTTTGCCTCACCATGCCATGCCAGGCCACCTTGCAATGACAGCTCAGGAACATGCCAAAATCCTATAACATCAGCTAATCTGCTTTAGAGCAGGAGAGGGGAGGGGCCTGGGAGAAAGGACTTGTGGGTTCTTTCCCCAGTTCTGGTTAGAGCGGTGGGGCTGGAAGTTAGGGCAATTGGCTTCTTTCCCGAGCTCTGGGTGGGGACTGACATCTAGTGGTTAGAGCCACAGGAGTTGGGAGCCAGGAGCCAGCACTCCTAGGTTCTATTCTGGCTCTGGGAAGAAAGCAGGGGCTAGTGGTTAGAGCGGGGGGCTGGGAGCCAGGACTCCTGGGTTCTTTCCCGGCCCGGGGCTAGTGGTTAAAGCGGAGTGGGTGGGAGCCAGGACTCCGGGGTTCTCTCCCGGCCCGGGGCTAGTGGTTAAAGCGGAGTGGGTGGGAGCCAGGACTCCGGGGTTCTCTCCCGGCCCGGGGCTAGTGGTTAGAGTGGGGGGCGGGGGAGGCCAGGACTCCTGGGTTCTCTCCCAGCCCGGGGGCTAGTGGTTAGAGTGGGGAGCTGGGAGCCAGGACTCCTGGGTTCTTTCCCGGTCCGGGGCTAGTGGTTAGAGTGGGGAGCTGGGAGCCAGGACTCCAGGGTTCTCTCCCAGCCCGGGGGCTAGTGGTTAGAGTGGGGAGCTGGGAGCCAGGACTCCTGGGTTCTTTCCCGGCCCGGGGCTAGTGGTTAAAGCGGAGTGGGTGGGAGCCAGGACTCCTGGGTTCTCTCCCGGCCCGGGGCTAGAGGTTAGAGTGGGGGGCGGGGGAGGCCAGGACTCCTGGGTTCTCTCCCGGCCCGGGGGCTAGTGGTTAGAGTGGGGGGGAGGCCAGGACTCCTGGGTTCTCTCCCGGCCCGGGGGCTAGTGGTTGGGGGGGGGGGAGCCAGGACTCCTGGGTTCTCTCCCGGCCCGGGGGCTAGTGGTTAGAGTGGGGGGGTGGGGGGGGAGGCCAGGACTCCTGGGTTCTTTCCCGGCCCGGGGCTAGTGGTTAGAGTGGGGGGCGGGGGAGGCCAGGACTCCTGGGTTCTCTCCCGGCCCGGGGGCTAGTGGTTGGGGGGGGAAGCCAGGACTCCTGGGTTCTCTCCCGGCCCGGGGGCTAGTGGTTGGGGGGGGGAAGCCAGGACTCCTGGGTTCTCTCCCGGCCCGGGGGCTAGTGGTTGGGGGGGGGGGGAGCCAGGACTCCTGGGTTCTCTCCCGGCCCGGGGCTAGTGGTTAGAGTGGGGGGGGTGGGGGGGAGGCCAGGACTCCTGGGTTCTCTCCCAGCCCGGGGGCTAGTGGTTGGGGGGGGGGGGGGAGCCAGGACTCCTGGGTTCTCTCCCCGGCCCGGGGCTAGTGGTTAGAGTGGGGGGGTGGGGGGGAGGCCAGGACTCCTGGGTTCTCTCCCGGCCCGGGGGCTAGTGGTTAGAGTGGGGGGGTGGGGGGGGAGGCCAGGACTCCTGGGTTCTTTCCCGGCCCGGGGCTAGTGGTTAGAGTGGGGGGCGGGGGAGGCCAGGACTCCTGGGTTCTCTCCCGGCCCGGGGCTAGTGGTTGGGGGGGGGGGGGGAGGCCAGGACTCCTGGGTTCTCTCCCGGCCCGGGGGCTAGTGGTTGGGGGGGGGGGAAGCCAGGACTCCTGGGTTCTCTCCCGGCCCGGGGGCTAGTGGTTAGAGTGGGGGGGTGGGGGGGAGGCCAGGACTCCTGGGTTCTCTCCCGGCCCGGGGGCTAGTGGTTGGGGGGGGGGAGCCAGGACTCCTGGGTTCTCTCCCGGCCCGGGGGCTAGTGGTTAGAGTGGGGGGGGGGGGAGGCCAGGACTCCTGGGTTCTCTCCCCGGCCCGGGGGCTAGTGGTTGGGGGTGGGGGAGCCAGGACTCCTGGGTTCTCTCCCGGCCCGGGGGCTAGTGGTTAGAGTGGGGGGGGTGGGGGGGAGGCCAGGACTCCTGGGTTCTTTCCCGGCCCGGGGGCTAGTGGTTAGAGTGGGGGGCGGGGGAGGCCAGGACTCCTGGGTTCTCTCCCGGCCCGGGGGCTAGTGGTTGGGGGGGGAAGCCAGGACTCCTGGGTTCTCTCCCGGCCCGGGGGCTAGTGGTTGGGGGGGGGGAAGCCAGGACTCCTGGGTTCTCTCCCGGCCCGGGGGCTAGTGGTTAGAGTGGGGGGGGGGGGAGCCAGGACTCCTGGGTTCTCTCCCCGGCCCGGGGGCTAGTGGTTAGAGTGGGGGGCGGGGGAGGCCAGGACTCCTGGGTTCTCTCCCGGCCCGGGGGCTAGTGGTTGGGGGGGGGGAGCCAGGACTCCTGGGTTCTCTCCCGGCCCGGGGGCTAGTGGTTAGAGTGGGGGGGGGGGGAGGCCAGGACTCCTGGGTTCTCTCCCGGCCCGGGGGCTAGTGGTTAGAGTGGGGGGGTGGGGGGGAGGCCAGGACTCCTGGGTTCTTTCCCGGCCCGGGGCTAGTGGTTAGAGTGGGGGGCGGGGGAGGCCAGGACTCCTGGGTTCTCTCCCGGCCCGGGGGCTAGTGGTTGGGGGGGGGGGGGGGAGGCCAGGACTCCTGGGTTCTCTCCCGGCCCGGGGGCTAGTGGTTAGAGTGGGGGGCGGGGGAGGCCAGGACTCCTGGGTTCTCTCCCGGCGGTCGCACCCCAGCCCCGGCGCTGCCGACCCCGTCTCCCCCCCGTACCTCACTCGGCACCTTTCGCTGCGCAGACCCGCTTCCAACACATCAAGAATGACGTCACTGAGCCCCCAGCAGCCTCTGCGCCGAAAGCCCGTCATTGGTGCGCTGGGGCTGGCTCGGACCCCATTGGTTGGAAATAATGTCACTCAGCCAGGACTGAAGAGCCCGCCCCCAGCCCGCCCCTGAACGACGTGGTCTTGGGGCTGTGAGTGACGGGCGCGGGAGGGGGCGGGGCCGAGGGCTGTGAGTGACGGGCGCGGGAGGGGGCGGGGCCGAGGGCTGTGAGTGACGGGCGCGGGAGGGGGCGGGGCCGAGGGCTGTGAGTGACGGGCGCGGGAGGGGGCGGGGCCGAGGGCTTTGAGTGACGGGCGCGGGAGGGGGCGGGGCCGAGGGCAGTGAGTGACGGGCGCGGGAGGGGGCGGGGCCGAGGGCTGTGAGTGACGGGCGCGGGAGGGGGCGGGGCCGAGGGCAGTGAGTGACGGGGGTTCGGGAGGGGGCGGGGCCGAGGGCTGTGAGTGACGGGCGCGGGAGGGGGCGGGGCCGAGGGCAGTGAGTGACGGGGGTGCGGGAGGGGGCGGGGCCGAGGGCAGTGAGTGACGGGGGGTTCGGGAGGGGGCGGGGCCGAGGGCAGTGAGTGACGGGGGTGCGGGAGGGGGCGGGGCCGAGGGCTGTGAGTGACGGGGGTTCGGGAGGGGGCGGGGCCGAGGGCAGTGAGTGACGGGGGTGCGGGAGGGGGCGGGGCCGAGGGCAGTGAGTGACGGGGGAGCGGGAGGGGGCGGGGCCGAGGGCAGTGAGTGACGGGGGTTCGGGAGGGGGCGGGGCCGAGGGCTGTGAGTGACGGGGGTTCGGGAGGGGGCGGGGCCGAGGGCAGTGAGTGACGGGCGCGGGAGGGGGCGGGGCCGAGGGCAGTGAGTGACGGGGGTTCGGGAGGGGGCGGGGCCGAGGGCTGTGAGTGACGGGCGCGGGAGGGGGCGGGGCCGAGGGCAGTGAGTGACGGGGGTTCGGGAGGGGGCGGGGCCGAGGGCTGTGAGTGACGGGGGTTCGGGAGGGGGCGGGGCCGAGGGCAGTGAGTGACGGGGGTTCGGGAGGGGGCGGGGCCGAGGGCTGTGAGTGACGGGCGCGGGAGGGGGCGGGGCCGAGGGCAGTGAGTGACGGGGGTTCGGGAGGGGGCGGGGCCGAGGGCTGTGAGTGACGGGGGTTCGGGAGGGGGCGGGGCCGAGGGCTGTGAGTGACGGGGGTTCGGGAGGGGGCGGGGCCGAGGGCAGTGAGTGACGGGGGGTGCGGGAGGGGGCGGGGCCGAGGGCAGTGAGTGACGGGGGTTCGGGAGGGGGCGGGGCCGAGGGCAGTGAGTGACGGGGGTGCGGGAGGGGGCGGGGCCGAGGGCTGTGAGTGACGGGGGTTCGGGAGGGGGCGGGGCCGAGGGCAGTGAGTGACGGGGGTGCGGGAGGGGGCGGGGCCGAGGGCAGTGAGTGACGGGGGGAGCGGGGAGGGGGCGAGGCCGAGGGCTGTGAGATGAGCTGGGCAGGGCGGAGTCAGGGGGCGGGGCGGGATGAGCTGGGCGGGGCGGGGAAGGTCAGTGGGGTGGGGCGGGGCAGAATGAGCTGGGCAGGGCGGGGAAGGGCGGAGTCAGGGGGCGGGGCGGGATGGGCGGGGTGGGGTGGGGAAGGGCGGGGTCAGTGGGGTGGGGCGGGGCAGGATGAGCTGGGCGGGGTGGGGAAGGGCGGGGTCAGTGGGGTGGGGCGGGGCAGGATGAGCTGGGCAGGGCGGGGAAGGGCAGGGTCAGGGGGCGGGGCGGGATGAGCTGTGCGGGGTGGGGAAGGTCAGGGGAAGGGGCAGGGCAGAATGAGCTGGTCAGGGCGGGGAAGGGCGGGGTCAGTGGGGCGGGGCGGGGCAGGATGAGCTGGGCAGGGCGGGGAAGGGCGGGGTCAGGGGGCGGGGCGGGATGAGCTGTGCGGGGTGGGGAAGGTCAGGGGAAGGGGCAGGGCAGAATGAGCTGGTCAGGGCGGGGAAGGGCGGGGTCAGTGGGGCGGGGCGGGGCAGGATGAGCTGGGCAGGGCGGGGAAGGGCGGAGTCAGGGGGCGGGGCGGGATGAGCTGGGCGGGGTGGGGAAGGGCGGGGTCAGGGGACGGGGCGGGATGAGCTGTGCTGGGTGGGGAAGGTCAGGGGAAGGGGCAGGGCAGAATGAGCTGGTCAGGGCGGGGAAGGGCGGGGTCAGTGGGGCGGGGCGGGGCAGGATGAGCTGGGCAGGGGCGGGGAAGGGGCGGAGTCAGGGGGCGGGGTGGGATGAGCTGGGCAGGGCGGGGAAGGGCGGGGTCAGGGGGCGGAGCGCGATGAGCTGGGCGGGGCGGGGTAGGGCAGAGTCAGGGGGCGGGGCAGGATGAGCTGGGCAGGGTGGGGAAGGGCAGAGTCAGGGGGCGGGGCGGGATGAGCTGGGCAGGGCGGGGAAGGTCGGAGTCAGGGGCGGGGCAGGGAAGGGTCAGGGGCGGGGCAGGATGAGCGGGGCAGGGCGGGGAAGGGCGGGGTCAGGGGGTGGGGCAGGATTAGATGGGCGGGGCGGGGAAGGGCGGAGTCAGGGGCGGGGCAGGGAAGGGTCAGGGGCGGGGCAGGATGAGCGGGGCGGGGCAGGGCTGGGTGAGTGGGGCGGGGCGGGATGAGATGGGCGGGGCGGGGAAGGGCGGAGTCAGGGGCGGGGCAGGGAAGGGTCAGGGGCGGGGCAGGATGAGCTGAGCTGGGCGGGGCAGGGTCAGGGGGCGGGGCGGGATGAGATGGCGGGGCGGGGAAGGGTGGAGTCAGGGGCGGGGCAGGGAAGGTCAGGGGAAGGGGCGGGGCAGGATGAGCGGGGCGGGGCAGGGCTGGGTGAGTGGGGCGGGGCGGGATGAGATGGGCGGGGCGGGGAAGGGCGGAGTCAGGGGCGGGGCAGGGAAGGGTCAGGGGCGGGGCAGGATGAGCTGAGCTGGGCGGGGCAGGGTCAGGGGGCGGGGCGAGTTGGGCGGGGAAGGGCGGGGTCTCTTGCGGGCTCTTGGGAGAAAACCAATGGCGGGGGCGGCTGCTGCCTGCAGGGCCCTGCGCAGCCCCGGCGGAGACCCCGTGCTGCCGCGCGGGCCTGGCGCTCGGACCCCGTCGCCTCCCTGAGGGCGGTTTTGGCGCCGCCGGGCCCTGCTCCCGCGGGGCGGGGCGGGGCCGGGCCTTGCCCACAACCAAGATGGCGGCAGGCTGGCTACGCGCTGGGGGTGGGACGTGGCGGTGCGAGTGCGCAGGCGCGGCGGTACCACAGAGGGTCAGCACAGAGCGTCTCCCTGAGGGCGGGGGGCGTCGCTCTGTCTTTCCCTCCCAGCGAGTCGCGTTCGGAGCAGCGCCGCAGCGGGACCCTCCTGGCGCCCCAGGTAGGCCCGGGCGGGTCAGCGCTCGGGGCGGCGGGAGAGCGGCCGGGGGCGGGGTCTGGTGCGCGGGAGCCAGCGGGGGGGCGGTGTGTGCGCGGGGGGGTGGGCAGGCATGGGAGGGGAGGCCAGGCTCGGATGGGGGAGGGGAGGCCAGGCTCGGGTGGGAGGCCAGGCATGGAAGGGGAGGGGGGGTGGGGTGGGAGGCCAGGCATGGAAGGGGAGGGGGGGGTGGGGGTGGGAGGCCAGGCATGGAAGGGGGAGGCCAGGCTCGGGGGGGGGTGGGTGGGAGGCCAGGCATGGAAGGGGGAGGCCAGGCTCGGGGGGGGGTGGGGAGGCCAGGCATGGAAGGGGGAGGCCAGGCTCGGGGGGGGGGTGGGGAGGCCAGGCATGGAAGGGGGAGGCCAGGCTCGGGGGGGGTGGGGTGGGAGGCCAGGCATGGAAGGGGGAGGCCAGGCTCGGGGGGGGGGGGGGGAGGCCAGGCATGGAAGGGGGAGGCCAGGCTCGGGGGTGGGGGGTGGGGTGGGAGGCCAGGCATGGAAGGGGGAGGCCAGGCTCGGGGGTGGGGGGTGGGGTGGGAGGCCAGGCATGGAAGGGGGAGGCCAGGCTCGGGGGTGGGGGGTGGGGTGGGAGGCCAGGCATGGAAGGGGGAGGCCAGGCTCGGGGGTGGGGGGTGGGGTGGGAGGCCAGGCATGGAAGGGGGAGGCCATGCTGGTGGGGGGGGGAAGGAGGCCAGGCATGTGGGAGGCCAGGCTCTGGGGGGGAGGGGAGGCCAGGCATGGAAAGGGGAAGCCAGGCTCGGGTGGGGGGGGGGGGGAGGCCAGGCATGGGCTGTGTGTGTGCCCAACGTGAGGGTTGCAAAGCGCAGAGGACACGCCATTTCAGGGTAATGATCGATCAGTGGCTGTGCAAGCCCTGAGCCTGGCAGGCAGCCGAGACAGACCCGCTGACTCAGCGACTTGCAGGCGGAGAGGATGGGAGCTGTTGTGGGAGAAGGCAAGGTACCCCGCATCTGATCCCCACACTTCTTTTCCCTGCTGTTGCAGCTCCCAGACTACCTGTCTGCCAGGCTGTGTCACTAACGAATTTAACAGCCTGGCAGCTGGGATTGGCTCATTTTACTGACCCAGCACAGCGGGACAAATGCCTTCAGCAGATACCATCCCCTCTGCCTGTCACTTCTGCTTCTGGACCTTCTTGGGGGAGGGATAGTTCAGTGGTTTGAGCATTGGCCTGCTAAACCCAGGGTTGTGAGTTCAATCCTGGAGGAGGCCATTTAGGGATCTGGGGCAAACATTGGGGACTGGTCCTGCTTTGAGCAGGGGGTTGGACTAGATGACCTCCTGAGGTCCCTTCCAACTCTGATATTCTATGATTCTACGACCTCCGCAGGAACGGTCTTTGACAGTTACATGAACACTGAGCAAAGGGCCTCCTATGCTGCCTCCTCCCTGAGCGCTACAGGGAGCAGCACTCTGCTGCCTGGTGTATGCACTCACTACCCATTTGCAGCTGAAGCTGTTCGTTCCTGTTTTTAGCTTTTCAGCCGTAGCTTGCTCCTTTCTCCCTGCAGGATGAGCAGGCAGCAGCTTCGGGGTGGCAGGCAGCTGCACAGTGGCTGTAGAGTGAAGTTTCTCTGCTTTCCAGCCCAGTCCTTACTCAGTGATGGCTCTGTCTGGCTTGGCTCAGTTGCTCAGACTGAGTCCAGTTCTCTTGCCATCTGTTAATTACAGT